GCGTAGTTTCCTTGTTGTAATATGTACTCATGCTGACACGCTATGCCTCTGCATAGTCATCCATAAATCTATTAACGTGATCTGTGATACTGTATGATCTTATTTTTCTCTCAAAATAAAAAAGGAAAACATTTAAAACAGAACGCTCAGTTAAAAAAGTAGGTGAGGTTATCTCAGGTAGAAAGACTGGATCTGTGCAGGATTAGGGTCCACTGTAGCTGGTGTCCAGGAACATTTTGATGCCCTTCCTGGAAATGTAGTATTCTGGACACCCTCTTCATATATAAAAATCTAAGAATTCTTTCATTAATTATATTTCAGCAACACTGACAAGAAGAGGGCCAGTGGTTAACAGACTTGTGTGATGATGTGTGCTCTGTGAGTGATATTTTCTTTTTTTTCAATCTAGAGATTGTTTTTGTTAAATGTTTCTATATATAAGATTTGTATATACCAAGTATCAGTTTAGTATGTGGTCTGTTCATTGGATGTGTGCAGTCAAAATCCATATATTGTATCTATTAGACCTAGAGCTACACCTGCATAGTTTGACTTTCTTGTTTTCTTGTTTTTAACTAGATCAAGGTTCTCCACCTAGGAAAGGGTTAAACATGATTAAAATTATGAAAGGGACAATCCATTGATCAAACAATTGTGTGGTCAAATGAAACCTGGAGCTAACCAAACAGGTAACATGCTAGTGGACCTGTTGTTTTGGTAATTATATGCATATTACACTAATACCAGATTGGCACATTCGTGTCACGTAACTTTAAGGAGTGACTAGTAGCTTAGGACATGAATGTTGATCCCTGAAGCAGTGCACATTTTGTTCTAATGGTTTGCTTATTTGCACTGTCTGCTTTTTTGTGTGACACAGTGCATGATGAATACTGAAGCTAAAATGCAGACCAATTCTTGACGTAAACTTGGAACTGTGGTCATCAACGCTACTGCTGTGAGAGCCAGGGGATGTGTTATACACAACTGTTAAGAGTATAATTTTGTTACGTCTTACCTTATGTCTCTTCAGTATATCTGCTTGTCTCTAGGATCATGTGTATTTTTGCAGGTCTAGAAATGTATACATTTCCAATATAATTCATGTGTTTTCAAATCCTAAAGCTGGCCTAAATGTAATATATTGCGTAAGTTTTCCAGATGAATAAATATTTTTGGAAACATTTTAAAAATGACTTAATATTTAGAAAAAAAATATTTTAATATATTGTTTTGATTTTTTTTATATGACATTTTTTTGATGTTTGATATTTTAAAAAATAATTTTCAATGTTTATCCAAAAATATGAAATCTTCACAAAAGTTAGCCCAAAAATATTACTTTGACTCTGTTAGACAGAGTATTATAATAATAAAGGAGGCAGAGTGTGGGGACAGATCTCCTACGTAGTAAATTGCAGCACAGGAATTCCATGTAAGGAAGAAGGAAGTACAACACGTTCTATTGTTCAGGCAAGCAGTGTGTAGCTACAATGGTTGCCAAAGGTCTGGGTGCCAGGAGTCAGGAGATGACGAACAGAAAGTAGGGATTTGATTGGACCAGGGATTGGGCACTGGAGAAATAGAGACAGCAAGAACTAGGCCTCTGGAACAATTTTCCATTAAACAGTTTGTCTCGTGGGTTTTATAAGTCTTATCAATGTGGTGGTGTGGTGGTACCCAGAATGAAGTTGTGCCACTCCATGAAGACTGTACCATATCCTTTGCTGTTTTAGAGCCTGTATGCTAATCGTAATTTGTAGGATCTGGGAATAATGTGCTTTCCAAGATAATATGCAATATGACACATGATTCCACGTAGAAGGATAGTCTTGTTAATGACACTCACAAATCAAACTAACATTAAAATCTTGCATGAAAGGGATTACATCTGTTTTACATGACATTATATATTGACATTTTAATTATATGCTACACAATTACTTGATACACAATGAAAGATTCAAAATTCACAACTGGCTTACAAAAGTGGTTATACAGTGCTACCAGATGCATGAAGTTTCAGCAAACTTTATCAGAAAAAAACCACTCACAGAATGTCGAGAGAATATAAGAATATACTGAATTCTAGACACTTCAACTAATACAAGTACCTTCCATGCTTAAATACAAAGGAAATATCTATTTATCAGACATACATAATTATGTAATTATTATAATTATTATGCAGTTCTTCAAGTATGTATATTAAATTATTTTGCTTTTACCAATGATGAAAGAAGTATACCCAATTATCATATATTTTATGGTCACATTAATTTGTGGAGTTCAACAACGAACGGGGCCACGGGCATGATTACAATTATGTAAACATGAAATATTAAATGATTCTTATTTTGCCCTATAAGGATACTCCTATTTAAAATTTTCACTATATGTTCCTATGAGTTTTGCATTTTATGTTACAGGATTGGCAACAGCACAAGATTTGTGGTCTAGCAAATTTTCAGGAGCTAGGGTATGTATTTTTACAAGCTTTCAGTGAGGCCTCCAAACAAAAATAAAATTATTTACTCGAATAGAAATATTTTGTGTGTGCTTATTTTCTTATTAAAATAGTTTTATGACATGTTAGAGCACAGGCACGTGACCTGCAGGGACACACAGGTATGCGTCACACTAGAAAGGGTAAAGCCGCATGACCCTCAAGAGACAAACACCTCATAGAAACGTGTCCACCTGATAACATTGATAGGGGTCATGCCCCACAGCTGAATTTATGCTAGACTATAGAAGAACGATTATTCCAGGTAGCTACCGAACTGCAAATATCTGGTGTTTATAATATGCCTTCTTTTATGACTAATGTTGTCTCAATATTTTGACACCATGCCGATATTTATACAAAGACATTATCTGCTGGATTGTACCATTGTTGTTCGAAAGATCTCATCTCCTGTACTGAAATGTTATTTTCATCATAAAAATAAATAAATATTAAATTTGAAAAAAAAAATAGTTTTATGCCTCTGGGCATCTACTTCTAAAGGACAATTAAAGTATGTTGGTTTGTTACGCCTTCTTGATTGTAACAGCAACTCAAAGTAAATTACTCTTTATGTTATTATACAAGAACAAATTGGGAGTGAAATTGACTCATTGTAACATGCATTCAGCTCTGTCAAATTCAGAAGTGCTTTCCCATTGTAATGGCCACATCCAAAGACTAAAGAACGTTTTCATTGAAGATATTGGTGAAGATATAACTGCAGAGCCTTATAGCTTGCTGGCGGTCTGGTTTACTTAAAGTGACTTTTCCTAGTTTCTAACCAGTGCAGATTGCTGCAAAGGTTATTAAATGGCTGCTTAAATAACAAGATTAAATTTGTTAGTAGACATGCTTCCTGAAATGAAAAGATTTGGCTGGCATAGAACCCCACTTTTAAGTAATTCTGAAAGTTTTTGATTCACCTGACAACGATACACTTGGCATAGAATCCCTAATATCCGAATACGCTGGTATGAGGTCGTTGGGGCAGGCACTGTCAAATAGAACACAATTGTCACTTACATTTGCTCAGGTATCTAATGGAAGCAGGCAGAAAACCTCCATGGCTTTTTGATAGACTTATAAATAGTTTATTTATAAAAGTGCTGATTTCATCATAGAAATCAGCACTTTTATAAACTGTGGTAAAATTAGGATACTCCTCACCAATAAAGTATTTCAATAAGCTGAAGTGTTTTATGTGTGTGGAGTGGTCCTTTAAGGACTTAAAGGATGTAGGTTGTGTGTAACCTTAAAGACATAGATGTCCATATGATTAGAGCCAATCTCTCTTAGGTTACATTGAATGTGAGTGTTATTCTTACACCTGTTTTTTTTTTTTTTTTGGTCACCAGAGTTGGGTTTGCTGCACTATTATTTTTCTTATCTTTATCTTTTTAACCTTTTATTATTCTAATTATTTTTTTATTTTATTTTTTTTTATAGTCAAATGGGGTATAGATTTATTCTGTCTTCAGGTTCAGCTTCACCGCTTTGGAATAATGACGTATTCTAAAGGCTTAGCATTCCATTTCAAACACATTCTGCTCCTTTTATTTTTTTTTAAATTCTTTATTTTGTTTGTGCATCGAGTTAACAAGCAGTTTTGCACTGCCATGACAGCTAGTGCAAACAAAAAAGGAAACATGCAGTAACAATAGTGTAGCATCAGAAACATTGCACATTTTTAAATTATAGCAGGAGTAACATATTAGACATATCAGGCTGCGACACCGTGCTAGTGGTAGCTGTAGTTAGGTTAGCTGCGTGCTCTAACGCACTCGGAATGTGTAGGTATTTTGATTAAAGGCACAGCACCCATGGGTGTCACCAGAGTGATATTAATTATGTTGAAGCAGTTAGAAAGAAAACTCACAACATTAACAATATCTTAGTGTAGGCGTTTCTTGCTAAAATGGGTAACACACATAGGAATTGCTTAACTGATATATAATAGATTACATGAAAGGTAATACTCGTTTGGGAGTGGTTAATAATTAGGGGTGCTCAGTTTGCCGGACCCTTAATGGCACAACGGCTGGATCTTTTTAGATGTCAGGCTATACATTGACACTGCCGGGTATGGCGATCAGTAGGTAGTTAGGGAGTATTATATCCTTGGTGTCTAGGCTAGTTATATTCCCCGCAGATTGCCATGCAGCTGAGGGCATCCATGCTTAATTGTTATGATTGTAATGGAGAACGTAAGGCTATGCAAATAGAGCGACAGACAAAAAACAGTTCTGGCTAACATTAGACATGGTTAAGGAGGCTTTCGGTGTATAAACTAAGAATCTCCCAGGGGTATGTAGCTGCTGTGGGAGTTTATATACTTTGTCATAAGTCCATTCAGCCGATGCCCGTGAGTGGGGGGTCAGCGACCCGGTAACGTGAGAGTCTTAGGTGCTTTAACCCTTGTTTGGGTAGCTTGCCAGGGCATTGGGGGAGTGGGGCTGGTGGTTGCATACCCCTCTCCCCAGGGCCTGCAGGGCTAAGTCCACACAATCGAAGGATAGTGGATGTAGTTGTACCTTCTGTTTTTTGCGCCGTCCGGTCGCAAAAGTCTCTGCTGATTCCCAGCATTTTGGTGTGGTAGACTCGGGTGTGCCCTCAGAGCTGCTGCAGGGGGTCGGCGCTTCAGCACGGGTGATGATCTCTGCCTTGCAGCTCGGGGCTCTCCTCTGTTTTGCCTGCCAGTGACGTCCCTTGTAGGGGGTGCTCGTGGCGTACCAGAGGGTGAGTCTGGACTCTGTATTTTCACCATCTCGGGTGACCCCTGCTCCCGTGGAGGAGAGAGGGCAGCCAGGTGTCCCAGCTGGGCAGGAGAGGGTTCCGTAGTCCCGGCTTTCGCGTTAGCCATTGTCGGCACTGGGGTCTGGCTGTTGTTCTCCAGCCGCCTCCAGAACCCCCTGCAGACGGCATCAAATTTTGCCATGAAGGTCTCTGCCCAGTCGTTTGTCCTCTGTCGTTCTGCGGCTGCTGCGGTGCCGTCGGCCATCTTGGCCCGGCCTCGTGGCTCTCGGTTCAAATTGCACCCTGGAGCGTCTCGGAGGTGAGTGTTCCCTGCGTGAAGGTGGACCAGGATAACCCCCACCGGTCCAAGGGGGGGGGGGACGGAGACCCCTGTATGCTTTGTCAGCTTTGTGTGGCGTCGGGAAGGCGGCCGTCCCTCCCGCGTCTGCCATGTGGGTAGGCCTTAGGCCTTTGCCGAGTGGATTTTGCTTGTCTGGTAGCTTGATTGGTATCATATTAATCTTCTCGGTGTCTCCCCACGTTTGGAGGCTTTTCTGACACGATTGATCGTTGGTTTCACTGTGATAAACAGCTTTATTTGTCGCTTGTTGCAGGAGCTACTGAGGCTAACGTCCTCTCAGCTCTGCGGTCAGGCCCCGCCCCTCATTCTAATTATTTTTTATGTAATATTTACTTTGTTTTAATATTTTTTGGTGCCTTTTATGCTGCTTTTTATATTTATATATATATATGTAGAATTTGTTATTGTATTTTTAGTAATGTTGAGCTTTCCAAGAAGAAAATGGATGCTATTTGTTTTTTCTGACAAAAAGTGTGACTTTGGCTATTTTGCAACATATTAACTCACTGAGAACACTTTTATCTAAGTGGGTGATATTACCTGCTTTTACGTGATTTAATACTTGCTGAGAATTCTTTTGGTGCTTTTTGATTTAACATAAGGTAGGTACATTGGAAAAAACTTTTTCTAATAAACATGAATTCCAATATTTTGCAAATAGATACAGTACATTTTAGTGATAATTGTCACACTGGATGTTAATAAACATTATCATCAATATTGTTTTCTCCAATGCAGGAAACCAAGTGGATTCCAAAGTCTCTGAGAAATGGTTCAGGTCTACATTGGAGGTTTCCAGATTTTCAAAGACAATCACAACCAGGAAAAACAAATTATAATTCTGTTCCTCTCTGTAAGCCAAGCTCAGCTATGGAAAACCAGAAGGAAGGACGGGTCAGTCCAGAACAGGAAGCCGAGGAAATGGAGAATCAGTATGATGAGGTGCGGTTTATTATTCTTTGACAAAACATCGCCTTAATTTTATTATGTCAGAAAGAGCACCTGTAGCTATTCTGAAGAGTGAATACAATGCTATAATTTAAGTAAGTTCCCAGTCTGCCTAAATTGCATTTGTAGTTATTAGAGAGTTAAAGAAACACATATATACCATTTTGTTTGTCTTTGTCTGTCTATCAATAGGAACTGCATTGAGACACTCCAATCACCTTAACCACTACCTAATACTGTAATGGTTATGATGAAAAGAAACATATAAGTTTTTTTGAGATATTTTAAAATGCTCAGCCCTGTAATTTAACCCCTGGGACGTATCAAGTTCTGTCGTGTGATGAGGAGCATGCATACCAACCTTTCTCCATACCCTGCTGCCTATGAAAAAGTGAATCCTCCTCAAATGACATTAGAAGTCACAGTTTGGGAGTGATGGTGCTGTGTTTTTTAGAGTATATGAACCTTAGCCTCAGCGATACTATCAGCTTCTCAAATGTGTACACACCGAGCTATGCCAGTTTGTGTGAATGAATGAGTATAAACATAGATGTCTATGTTGTATGTGTGTCTGTATGTGTGTGTCAGTGTCTCAATTCAGGAGGTTGTATGCACCACCTACCCTTCCCAAATTCCTAGCCCATTAATTCTTCCTACTTGCTACTGCTTTTTCTTATGCAAGTAAAACGTTCTTAACTCACTTTAAAAAATGTTCCATTAAAAACATCAGCTTTGAAAAAGCATTTGTCAGTACAGTAATGCTATGCTAATCAGCTTCTGTATAGCTCTCTGTGTCTGAAACTCTTTTAATGTTTTATTCTCTGAGTGCTCTAGCTTTCATAAAACATAGGACATGTAAAGACTACCTTCCTTAATTTTATATATATAGCAGTCAATTCGCCAAAACTTGACATTGGGTGGAGCTTGAAGCATGTTTCTGTTTCAGTTACCAATCAAATAAATTGCTGTTTAGTGAATTAGTAAGTGCGCTAGATATGTTGTATACATTTGACACAGCAGCACCCTTATGAGTGTGCATGTTCAGGTGAGCCCATTATGTTTAAATATATTTTGGAGTCCAGACCAACTCCCTGGATTTTCACCTCTACCTGTCACAGGTAGCTCATTCCAGGGCTCTATTTAAAAGGACATTGAAGTGGTCTGGACACAGTGCCCCTATTGCACTTAGCGCTGCAATGTTAAACATTGCAGTTCCAGAGAAACTGCAAAGTTTACAATGGAGCTCTAAGTCTGCCGCCAGTGGCTGTGTAGACAACCACTGGAGGCGCTTCCTGCATTCAAATGAATGATACCTTAGATCTGGTATCGTATGCTGGATGTCCCCATGCTCTACATGAGGACATCTAGCGTCAGATTTTTGTTCCCCATAGGAAAGCATTGATTTTAATGCGCTCGCGGACAGAGCAGCAGTGACCCAGCACTGAGGGACAGCAGCGATGGGATCAGGTAAGTAAATAAAGGTTTTTTTCCTTTTTTATATTCTTTATTTTTATTGTGCAGAGAGCAAGAGTAAGTATGAGCAGCCATAACAGAGTCGTCACACGTTACAGAAATTTACATATAAGACACCGTCATGGCTTGACATAGTTGCACATTTTAAACGATACATAACATGGTACATTAGGATATCATTACGAAGTTTGCAATGTCTTTGTGAGTTGAAACATTTGTCTTCGAAGTAGGATATATCATCATCACAATATGTCTCATTAAGCATTTGCACAAGAGAAGAATTACACACATGCTTGCTTGGTCCAAGCAAGGCACCCCACATCGCGATCTGAATATTCTGTCTGTGTGGTTTAAGGGTTACAAATTTCACATTTTGTCAAATGGCTATTATTATTCTAGTTCTGGAATATTTCTACTCTATTCTACACAGTACTTCCCAGCAAGTGGGAAGGTGGGATTGTTATGCCACATATGTACATGAGCGCTGTTGCATTCATTTTGTATTAAGACATAAGTTACTTATAAGTGTAATTTATGTATGTCATACAGTTTTTGTTGCATTTCTATTTGTGTAGTCCTTCATTATTGTAAGCCATAAATAAAGGGGTTTTAACCCTTTATTTGTTGCAGGGGCAGGGGGAGAGGGAGGTGAGGGGACGTGGGGGTTGAGGGAGCGGGATGCAGAGGAAGCTATAGTGCCAGGAATACAGCTGTTAAAATTGTGTGCATATAATATGAAATGGACTTCATAAGTTAGTTTGCACTAGAGCACTAAAATACAGTGAAATGTACTGTGCCATATAGAACTATTGAAACCCTTACATGTATAAGACGTATCCTAGCAGCAGATAATATAATTAGTCATGAAACTATGTTTTTTTTACCTTTTTATTTATTTGAAACTTTACAAAGCGAAACTTAATTGTTTATTCATTTGTTTGTCACGATTCCTGATATTGATAGAGGCCAGGGCCGGACTGGCCCACCGGGTTACCGGGAAATTTCCCGGTGGGCCGTCAGCATCTGGGGCCGGGCAGACACCTGGGTCTGCTGTCGGCCGCTGGGAATGTCTTCTGGCGGCCGTTGGGGGACTTGTCCTGGCAGCCGCTGTGGGAGCTGCGCTGGCTCTGCTCCCCAGCGTGCAGCTGAATGAGACCGCCGCCGGAATATGACGCCAGGACAAGTCCCCCAGCGGCCGCCAGAAGACCTCCCCAGCGGCCCCCAGAAGAACTCCCCTTGGCAGGTATTAGTAATGTGTCTGTCTGTCTGTGTTATCATGTCTGTCTGTATGGTGTGTGTCTGTCTGTCTGTCTGTGTCATGGTGTCTGTCTGTCTGGTGTGTGTGTGTCTGTCTGTGTCATGGTGTCTGTCTGTATGTATGGTGTGTGTGTTTCTGTCTGTCTGTCTGATGGTGTCTGTCTGTATGGTGTGTGTGTGTCTGTCTGTGTCATGGTGTCTGTCTGTATGGTGTGTGTGTGTGTCTGTCCGTCATGGGGTGTGTGTGTGTGTGTCTCTGTCCGTCATGGGGTGTGTGTGTCTCTGTCCGTCATGGGGTGTGTGTGTGTGTGTCTGTCTGTCTGTCATGGGGTGTGTGTCTGTCTGTCCATCATGTGGTGTATGTATGTGTGTCTGTCTGTCCGTCATGGGGTGTGTGTGTGTGTCTGTCTGTCCGTCATGGGGTGTGTGTGTGTCTGTCTGTCCGTCATGGGGTGAGGGGTGTGTGTCTGTCTGTCCGTCATGGGGTGTGTGTGTGTCTGTCTGTCATTCATGGTGTGTGTGTGTGTGTCTGTCTGTCCGTCATGGGGTGTGTGTCTATCTGTCCGTCATGGTGTGTGTCTGTCATGGTCTGTCATGGTGTGTGTGTGTGTCTGTCATGGGGTGTGTATCTGTCATGGTATATGTGTGTTTCTGTGTCTGTCATGGTGTAAATGTGTGTTTAAAAATAGTGTTTTTGCTCACCTTTTTTTTTTTCCACGCAGCGTGCTGGTCTCCCCTCGACTGGCCCTGCCTCTATAGCTGAGATCATCAAGCTTGATGATCTCAGCTAATCCAATGCTTTGCCATAGGATTGGCTGCAAAACGCCACTCCAATCAGCATCTCCTCATAGAGATGCATTGAATCAATGTATCTCTATGGGGAACCTTCAGCACCTACAGAATGTGGAGGCCCTGAATATAGGTGCACTAACAAGGGAAGCACCTCTAGTGACCGTCTTAGTGACTTTCACTAGCAGTGTCACTTTGAAGCAATGTAAACACTGCCTTTTGTCTGAAAAGTCAGTGTTTACGTTGAAAAGCCTGTAGGGACATGCTATAGACACCAGTACCACCACATTAAGCTGTGTGTGTGCGTCTGCTAGTGAGTGAGCTTGCCTGCATGCATGTGCCTGCTAGTGAGTGAGCTTGTGTTTTTATGTCAATGAGCTGATGTATATCAGTAAGATTGTTTGTCTATGAGGCTGTGTATCAATGAGCTTGTGTGTGTCATTGAAATGTCAGTGAAATTGCCTGTGTCTGCATGTGAGTATGCTTACTGTATAATTAAACGTTTTACCCTGAAAGGACCAATATTTTATATTAGAAAAAGCTATATATATATATATATATATATATATATATATATATATATATATATATATATATATATATATATATATATATATATATATATATATATATTACTCAATCATCTGTCCTGGCAAGACATAGCCTTACATATTACACGCGACAATATATGGCGCAGTGACTTATGGGGCTGGCACAAATTTTTTTTCCAGGGTTGCTTTGTATCCCCAGTCCGACCCTGATGGAGGCAATAGTTGAAGCAGTAAATGAAACAATGATGGCAAATAAAATAGAATAGTGACTATTTACAATAAATATATTTATATGTACACAATAGTAGGACCTACTTGAACAATTGGTTATTGTGCACAAAGAAATTAAATCTCATTAGCATGGTTTGGAATGACTCAGTAGCCATTTACTAGACTTGCAATATGTTAGGAGTTCACTTGGTAGGGTGATCTGTTTTGCTCACACACTAAAGGTAGCAGACAGACTTGGATACTGGAGGTTTTATGTGAATAGGCAATTCGTACAAAGTATGTGGGTGAACAGGCTCTTTTGGAATGAGTGAATATATCAGATGAGTAATAATGGTGTTTAATGTGAGTGGAGACTTGAAAGGAATGTCCGCAATAATATTACAATGGCAGAATGGATAATCTGGGAGTATGGTTGTTATTAGTTCACTTGGATCTGACAGTGGAGTTACAACTATGCTCAGAGATAATCGGAGAGTGTACACAGGTAGCATTGGATGAGGTCTGAATCAAGGAGGGCAGCAGGCATGAAAGGGTGATTCGAGAGTGAACTCAGGAATGAAAGCCAGTGTCAAAGCCAGATAATAAGGACATTGTTTAAATAACATCTCACAGTACCGGTTTGTCCCAAAAGGGTTATTAGTCAAGATGTCCTTGGACTCCCAATCTGCTATGAAAATATTGGTGTAGCTGGGGACAAACATAGTACCCAGAGCAATCAGGAACAATTGAAGGAGCACACTTCAAACTAGAAGAGATATTTTTGGTTAAAATAAAATCTATATACTTGAAGATAACGAGTCCTGTTTGATCTTAATTATGTATTGTACAATATCAGGCTTAGCTTATCGTGTGCACATGCGCAGTCTCCTACCTAAATGCATACACATATAGATAGAATCTGCAATGTGTGAAAGAGCACTTTTGACTTTGTCAATAAAGCATACATATTATGTATCCTTAATCCTTTAAAGACAATGGCAATTGTCCAAGTTCTGAACCAAAATAAAACCTAGAATCTGAGTTATATGTCTGTTCAACCATAATTTACCTTTTTTATATTAAGTGCAACCAAACATATTATATACCATTTTGTTCAGGATAAACAGGACTTTCATTTAATATCAAATACCGGTAGTTATACAGAGCACATTTTAATATGAATGAAATCTAAAAACGTGTGAGAAACTTGAAACAGTACCCCTGATATGGAGTTTTCATGGGGTTTTGGAAAGTTACAAGGTCAAATATATTGCTTGTAAATGAAAGTGTAGGTGTATGTATGCATATTAAAATTTCATGCTAAGTGTATGATTTTATATCCTGAATAAAGTTAATTTGCTGAACTGAAATGTCGACCATGTTTATTGGTACATCTGATTATTATAAGGATATATATAATAAACAAAAGTTGAGGCTGCACTCATGATCTGCAGATACAACTCAGTATTTCATGAATTTCCAGGTGACCTGGAGATCGACGTTTCAGTCCCCTACTGGAACTTTCTTCAGGATCCTGAAACGTCATTCTTCTGATCACCTTGGAAATTCAATAAATACTGAGTTTTATCTGCAGACCGTGAGTGCAGCTCCAGCTTTTGTTTATTATCTATGTCTATTTGTTCCTCATGGACTGGCACTAATTTAATTACTGTTAAGCTAGAGTGCAAGGAACTTTCGTTTTTGTACGTGTGTGTATGTGTATGTTTATATATATATATATATGTATATATATATATATATATATATATATATATAGTTTAAATAGTAAGAGGCTTGCACTCACGTTTTTTTCGTTGTAAAATTCCTTTATATCATGTCCATATTAAAACTGATCGACGTTTCAGCCCCCCTCCGTGGCTTTCTTCAGGATCAATAAATAATAAAAATGATTTATTGATCCTGAAGAAAGCCACGGAGGGGGGCTGAAACATCTATCAGTTTTAATATGGACATGAAATAAAGGAATTTTACAATGAAAAAAACGTGAGTGCAAGCCTCTTACTATTTAAACTATATTATTGGCATTGGCTTCAAGAATGCACCCGGTATTTAAAATGTTAAAGTTAGTGTGCATGACTACTGAAGACATTATATATATATATATATACCCTTAGAATTTAATTATCTATATAAACCAGCACTCTGAGGTATTCGCTTGTAAAAGCTTACCTTTATTGATATTTTAAATAAGCTACATGAAAATCTTCAAAAGAAGTCGATTTTGTCAGTTCTTTATTAGAACTTTCATCAGGACTTGTTTAAAACATACTACAAAGCAAATAAAAAAAACAATTTATAAGAATAAAAATTGATCACTCACCCTCCACCTGAGTGCTGTTCAGCATGTTCCGGTATCTCCGGTGCTGCTAGTGGGGATTATCTTCATAATTAATTACTCCTTCAAATCTTGCATCAGCCCGCTGGAGCAAACTTAATGTCGAGATTTGAAAGGACGATTCAGTGAATGGATTATAGGAGAGAGGAATATAGTTGAGCGGTGTCTTTTGATGTGCAAGTGCAATTATAAATATTGTGTTTTTTACATTGTTTAATAAAGCATGTCATAATGGAGTGCACTATGGAGGCCTGATTTGTCTTTAAGATAAAGTGGATTCGAGGAGCTATGCATACTCAACACTTTCAATTTATCAATTGGACATTTACAAACACTTTCTTTGGCCTCTAACGTTGCTGCATATTATTCACTAGTTTACCAGGTTTATTGCTATTTATATAATTTATATTTGTTTTTGTTGTTCTGTTATGATATTTTAGCTCTGGACCATAATGTAGCGCTTCTGCTATCAATCTGCTTTTAGATCTTCAGCAAATTAACCTTCAATTTAACTTTAGTGTTAAAGCTTGCTATTCATACTCATCCTAAAGAGTGTTTTGTAAATTAGTTCCCTTTTTAGTTCCCAAAGTCTGAACTAAAAACCTTGAGAAACTATTTAGATGAAAATATGAAATAAAGTTTATTTATCCTTCCATTTTCCCTGCTGGGGCTGGAATATTGGTTTTATGTTGTATAAAGATGATACAATCTGACCCATTTGTAATAACCATGAATTAAAGCAAGTTACTGTCAAGGTTCCGCTCTATAGTGACCATAAAATTTTGTATATCTGAACATCTGTCTTCTTCTTGTTTACCTGAATGGGCCATGTTCTATAAAAAATTTAATTTCCATATAGCCTATAGAATAAGTATCAAGAATGGTATACTAACAAGACTTGAGATTTGGGACAAATGATTGGATAATCCTGGGGCCAGCTTTTAAAATTAAATTTAGAGTAGGATCTTTCTTAAGAATCTTCTAATGCTGACCACCGAGTTGTGCAGACGTGGGTAGCACAAGCTCCTGCCTGACGGGTAGAATTTGGGGTAAAATCGGCGGCTACATAGCCCAAAGACTTACCAGGGTGCACTACCCGTGTCGGGGGTGAACTACTGAATCGAGTGACACCTCTAAGGAGCCCGTCTGGGCCAGGAGCTACTGGAGATGGAGCCGGGAGAGGCGGCTGCTCTCCCTGACACCGGACCCCAAAAGTGACTCCGCTGGTCTTCTACCCCCCCCCCCTTTTGGACCAGTGGGAGTTATCCCGGTCCCCACTGAATAAACGGAACAAGAATGCTGACGGGCTTACCGGAAACACAGCCTGCAGGGGTGCCGGACTGCCGAAGGCACAATTAAGATGGCTGCACAGCAAGGGCCAACGACAAAGAGCACATGCACCCAGTCGCCCACACATCCCCTGGAGGCTTTTGACCAGCTCTGCATGAGCTTTTGGACAACACTCTGTAATCGTGGAATGACCTACCATCTAGCAAGAGGTGGCTTTATGCATCCGCCCTGCAACCCGGCATCGCCTATATGGGCACCCACCTCAAGCTTCCAGAGCGGCCATCCAGCTACACAGACGCCAAAGACCGTTATGGCGGGAAACAGCGCCATGCTACTCGGGCGCATGCACTCGCTCTCACACACAGGAGCTGGATCACAAGGCAAGCCCTAACTGAACGCAACTCACCTGACCCAGGAATCTCTCATCAGCAAAGCACAGCTCTGCACCTAAAGGTTAAAGCTGAACACTGCGTTGCTGAACAGTAGAACGTCTGGCCAACAAATGCTAGAGCTGGGTCCAAGCCAAGGGGCTCCATTGGAGGGGCCAACAGCAAGAGAAAATGGAATATTCCTGCACTGGGCTTAGGCTGAAGCGCCCATTACTCTGCCTCACAGCTGGCATGCCTTACTTCAAATCGTGAGAGCACGTTTTCGGCTGTTGCTATGTATAACCAGTTTACCATGATGCCTTGCTAGTCTAAATCCCCAGTGGTTAATGTTTTCTCTTTTATTTAGCCTGGAACAACCTTTGCCATCATTAAAGTTTACTGTCCAGCTACTCTTTACTACTATAAAGTCTCTCTTATAACTAGTCACCCTGATTCTGCTTCACTGCCTGATACTAGACTACCCCTCAAAAACTGTCCCAGGAGAGGCACAGGCAAATAGGCAGACTCCACGATTAACTCTGCAACTAGCTTTAAGCACTGCAGCAGTTCCTCTAATTTTATTTTTGATAATACTTGATCCCAGTGGTCTTATATCTTGATAAAAGATCTTGATAAATCTATGTCTAGATATTACTGCAATGATACTCTACACTATAAGCAAGGTCTAGATATTTATATTTATATTTATTTCTACTGTGGTTTACTCTCAGGTCTAGAGGGGAGTGCCCCTTGCATGGGGACTGTCATAAAAGTCCAGTTATGGCTACCATTAAAGGGAGATTTGTTTTACCCTTCATGAAGTCTAGGCTGATATTTGGGGGATTGGAGAGCTATATTCACACTCTGGGGATTGCTATAATCACTATACTCCTTTGGATCTCAACACTTGATCTTATAAGAGCAGCCTGCTTCGCTCTCTGGACTAGGAGAAGTCTACCCACTGGAAGCTGGATCCTGGTCTTGGGTCCACGGTGGGTGGAGGACAGTGAGACCCCAACCAAGCTGCGTCGGTTTATGGTGGTTATGGTGTTCAAGTGCAGGGCTTATGGTACTCACAAGTTCTAGGAAGCAGCGATTGACGGAGGTACCCGGTCGGGGTGCCAGGTGGTTCGTCACATATCTAGTCTGATAATACTGTATTAGAGTGCTACCTTAAGAACACTAAAGTGACAATACTAAGCCATATATATTGGGCTTAGGTTCATGTTAGTGTATTTCTTACACCATCTAGTATGTGTCACTATATGGTACCATATAGACTAAAAAAGAACAAAATTTCACGCCGCTACAGGCACAATGTAATTTCTCGAATTTCCAAAGGATGATATCCATAATTTCCGCCCGTTGTATGCAGTGAACTACATCCCTTCCTAAAGTCCTAAGTGAGGGCAGACCAACCTAAGCAAAGATGATTGTTTAAAGAACATCATGTGGTAGCGGGAAGCCATTGGGCATGAGAATTTAAATATAGAGTTATGGATTGGAACATTTTTATTGCCAATAATAAAGCCTCACGGCGAAATGTGTCTTGAAAGGACTATTGTACTCGGATAAGTGCAATACATTGTTTATCTGTATTTGTTTTTATAGTTTTTTTTTTTTTATTGTTTTTGATTGTAATAAATATATCCTATAGCACTTTAATAGTCGTATTGGTTCATCAAGTTCCAGTTGCAGTGTTTGGAGAGCATCACCCCATTAAAATTTACATCAATCTTGTTAACCACAGAACCAGGCATCCAAGCTAGGTGAGTGATGCTATATCACAATTCTTAATATTTATCTAGTCTGGCAATATTACATGATTATTTCTTTTTTAACTTTAGAATATTTGCCAATACACCATTCCAGAAGAGAGGTAGAGTGCTACCTTATGAGCACTAAGGCAACAATAGTATGCCATATTGTCACAGTTCACTCCTTAGTTGATATGTCTTGGTGCTATACTCACCACTCTCACTGTTTGGCACTGTTCCTCATTTCTTTTCACTTTAGCACTTCAGCTGGTCCTTGTTAAGCACCTTTACAGTTTGGTTTCACCCTTCCCTCCTTGTCTGATCATTGTTTCCTGTTTCCTGTGATTCTGACTCTGCACTCTTCCATCCTGTACCCTGCATCCCTTGGTCCTGTATCCAACGTTCCTTGGTCTTGTGTTCCTGCGTCCCCTGTCCCTGTATCCAGCATTCATTGGTCTTGTGTTCCTGCGTCCGCTGGTCGTGTGTTCCCGTGTCCTCTGGTCCTATGTTCCGTGTTCTCTGGTCCTGTGTTCCCATGTTCTCTGGTCCTGTGTTCCTGCGTGCTTTGCTTCTGTGTTCCTGTCCTCTGATCTCATTCAGTGACTCTAAACCAGCATCCTTTGTTCGTATATCCTGCTTCTGGCCTTGCTTCCTGGTGTCATTGTATCTGTGTTGTGGCTCTGGACCTGTGTCCTGCCGATTGCTCATGGTGCCTGCACGATCCTGCCCAAGCGTATTCCTTATACCAAAGGACTGTTCTGTATACTCTACCTGCATATTCGTGCTAATCCTAGTTTATTGTATATATTTGTTTTTTGGCATTGTATATTTGTACATTGTTTTTGTTATCCTTTGTCTTTTGGTTTTCATTATAATATATATATCTATATTTACTCAATTAATTGTGTCTTGGCATTTACTCTCTGCAAATTGGGTTCCCACACTTAAAGGGATATTGCTGTTTCAGGGCAGCAACCCTTCCTGCCCTGACACATATATACTGGACTCATGTCCATGTAAGAAATTGTCACTATAGCATCATATTTTTAATATCATACCATCTACACTGTATATGTGTTTTTTCTCCTTTTCTATGTTCTATCTATGCCTTAGATTAATATAATACCACATTCCCCCATTTTGAACTATATATATATTTTTTTTAGCACTCCACTCTTTATTATATAAGGTAATTTTACCTATACACTCCTGTTTGTTAAATTCATTGGGTCATTGATAGTGATGTCCCGAACGGTTCGCCGAACGGTTCGCCGTGGACGGTGAACATATGCGGTAAACTTTGACCTTGTACCTCACAGTCAGCAGACACATTCCAGCCAATCAGCAGCAGACCCTCCCTCCCAGACCCTCCCATCTCCTGGACAGAATGCAGCTTCACAATGAATGTAAAATGGATGCTGTCCAGGAGGTGGGAGGGTCTGGGAGGGAGGGTCTGCTGCTGATTGGCTGGAATGTGTCTGCTGACTGTGAGGTACAGGGTCAAAGTTTACCGCATATGTTCGCCGTCCGTGGCGAACCGTTCGGCGAACCGTTCGGGACATCACTAGTCATTGAATCTTTCAGGAATTCCGGTCCTGGCATATTCATCAGGTAAGTGGACAGACATACCCATTCTAAATTGGACTTTTAAAGTACATTCATTCTGCAAGGTTTCACCACACCAGTGTAAAACAAACTATATGCTCATGTACTGGTGGTTTGCCTTGTCGTAGGAAAGAGAATGAACTTTCTGCGATAATTTTTTTTTTTTTTTTTGTCAAAAGAATCAGATCCATAGAGTCAGTTACAGGGTCTTGATTAAAGACCAGCTGATGAGCCTATTTTGCAGGGTGTCATTGGAGCAAACTGATAACAATTTTAACACAGACAGTGTGATATTGATATAAGTTCTTGGCTTGAGAGTAAATAGCAGTTGACTAGTAAAGATTCTGAACTGAAATCTGTGTCCACTGAATTTATTTGGTAATATAGGTGCAGGTTCAGGGTAATTAGCAATTGCTGGCATGGTTTGGTTGGAACAGTAACTGAAATTACCTTACAGTAATACCCCAAAATTCACAGTGGATATGTTCGAAGATCCTTGCACACACAATGCATCCCTTATATACAAAAACTCACAATGTGTCCCTTACGCACACACACATACATACACACACACACTGCTTCTCTTACACACACAGAAACACAATGCATCTTACACACACTCAATGCAGCCCTTACATACACAGAAACACACCTTGCATCCCTTACACATACAAACACAGACTCACACAATGCATCCCTACCACAAGCACACACAGAAACACACAATGCATTTCTTATACAAAAATACAGACTGCCTTCTATCCCTTACTTGCCCCACACACACACACACACACTACATCCCTTACACAAATTGGTATCCCTATACACTACATTCCATAAGAACACACACACATTACATCCTCTACAATAACACATAACAAATCCACTACACACATACACTAAACTCCCTGTCAGCGAACTCAGATGTGGGCCATGTATGTGGACTTAAGGGCGGGCCTTGTAGGCATACTCACAGTCAGGCCCTGGGGGCCCAGACCTTGAGCTGTGTAAGGGGCCTCAAAAAATGGAGCTGCTTCCTGTTTGTTGATTTTTGTGAGCAGAGTTACAAACAGCCTCCAGAAAGCCTGTTCTACACCTGACCAGTGGAGCCAGATTGCAGCCTGAGCAACCTCTTGTCCTCATCTGGTGGTAAGTATCTCTAATTTACATTAAAAGGACACTATAGTCACCAGAACCACTACAGCTTGATGTAGTGGTTCTGGTGTCAATAGCCTGTTCCTGCAAGCTTTTTAATGTAAACACACTGCCTTTTCAGAGACTCATATGGCAAATCATATGGGTGGGGCATTGTGATGTCACATGGTGGGCAGAGCATATTAGGGGGCGGCAAATTTTTGTTTGCCTAAGGCGGCAAAAATCCTTTGCACTGGCCCAGATGGGAGTTATGAGTTACGAGTTACATTAGTAAAAAAAACAAAAAAACACACTATTAAAGGGGTTGGGGTGACACCTTGAGTTACCGCACCAGGTGACACAAATTGATGTGGCCCAAAAATCAGAGTATGGAGCAAGAAAATTGATTAGGAGATAAACTGGAGTCAGGAAGCAAGAATTCAATAGCATTGAGGCAGGTCAGGAAACAGGAAAATTATAAGGTAACAGGAACAGGGAGTTTAAAACAACCAAGCACTAGTTAGGAGGCACTCGGGGAATTAAATAGGCTAATAGTCACATGACAAACCACCTCCCACCTGTAGGTGGAGTACTCTTGGGCTAAATAAATGGTCCAGAGACAACTTTGTTTGCATCTTTATCTTTGGACTGACTCTCGAATGCCGCAGGTGTCCAGGAGCCACAAGAATCTGAGCGCAATTTATTAATGCATTCATAAAAGATGATAAATGTTGCCATCTGTAATGTTTTACATTTTTTTTCTACAAGATGTGTTTTTATCTTAATACAATTTTGCTATAAAACCATCATTACGGTTACCAACTTCAATATGCTGTAGAGCTCCCTCCTCACTTTAACATTAGTGGATTGAAAGGACTGTCAACAAAAAAATCTAAAAAATGAACTAAAGTAATGTGTAAATCTACCAGCTGCTTGTGTTTTCAAGAGTCACAGAGTAAATTAGTAAAAGTAAAATCCGCAGGGGTTTTAGGATAGAGTTTCTCCGTTGTGATTGCCCTAAAAACAGGTTAACTTAACTTGGAATAACCAAGCTATTGTTGACTTATTGGTGATGCAGGCTTTAGCCTTTTTACTTTTTTTCTTCCATGTTAGGAACATTTACACACATCTGAAGTGATGGAAAGCACTTTTAGAGATTTTAGGAGAATTGTAATAAAGGTTAGTCTAGACTAAAATGAAGCAGAGCCTAGTTCTTTATTTGGTCCAAATACCTGAAATAATCTTCTGGGAACTATAAATAGCAAAATGACATGCCCATATATGTCTAAATAGTTATCTGTCTCATTACATAATTGTAAGTGGGCAACAGGGCTCAATGCTTTGTATTGTCTTTGTGCTTCAGGGTATCAGATTTGGGGGCTGCAAACACTCTCAATTTACTTTAACCATACTCTTGAGGAAATCATACTCTTGAGACGTTTACTGTACTTTAATAATGAACAAAGCTGGGTAGTAAATATTGAATTGTGTTGTTTAGAACTGAAACATCCAAAAGGACCCAGAGAGACTAACGATGTCCACTTTTAGTATTGCTTGATCTTTTTTCTTTTTAATCTACTTTAAGCATTTTTTTTTTTAATTGATGCATAATTAATGAATCTGTCAATCTTAAACTGCTCACATCCAATGTTTTTATCACTGGAAGCAATTTAATTTATGAATGCAAACATTTTAATAAATATTATATTAATACAAATAACCTGTATCTAACACATACATGATGCACATTTGGTGATTATTTACCATTTTCTTTTATGGTCATCTTTTGTACTGTTAAAGGGACACTCCAGACACCAAAACAACTCAATCTAAATGAAGTTATTATGGTGCCTGAATGGTTTAACTCCTAAGTTGCTTCCCATGCTGGTCTCATCTCCTTTCATGGTAGCATCTGGCTTCTGAATTTTCAATTACAGGAAGCGCAGAGGGGCGCTCGGCAGGGGTGCCACTGATGCTGCGAGTGGTTAGCTGATACTCTCAGCCAATCAGTGCCTCTCCATTCACTAAACTGGCTGGTGAAATGTACATTTCTTTCTCAAACCAGTTTAGTGAATGGGGAGTCACTGATTGGCTGAGAGTGTCAGCTCGGTCAGGCTCACTTTAAAATCCTTACGTATTAAATCGTTAAAGGAGCACGTTAGCTCTTCCTTGGTAATAGGTCACACTATTCATGAAGTTTTGACATTTATCTGAGTCTTCTGAGTCTCACTGTTGCACTGATTCAAAACTGCCAATTTAACTCTGTAGAGAAGACAAACCGTGTGTGAACTGGAGGACACTAGGTGAGTGACAAGTCATTTAGAAATGGTTTGGCTCCTGGTCAGGGGACAGCGCAAGAGGACTGTTGGCACCATAACTACCGCAGTAGGCTGCAGTATTTATGGTATTAGAGTGCCTCTTTAAATGGAAACTGACATCTTTCTGGAAAGTACAATGGGAAATGAAATGTTGAAAATTATCTATAACTTGTGGCTTTTTTGTATAAAGCTCTGGATTTTTTATAAAATGTATATTAATAATGTAACAAATGGCAACGCAATTTAGTTCAGTTCTGGCAAAGTCAGGGTACAAACTACATACTATGATTAATAACAGAAAAGTCCAATGCTTATAATAAGGATTGACAGTCTATGAAGATAGAGGCAATCAGTGTCACGATATAGCTAATTACAATGGTCTGAATTTCTACATTTGTTTTTAATTTTCAAACCTCACATATTTATTAAATATAGAGCATAGGTAACCTAGCATTAAAAAAAATCCGGGGATGTGACCTTTCCCCTTTAAACAGTAACATGATATAATTTTGCAGTAAACAGATAATTTATAATATTTTTGTGACTAGGTGGATACTAAAAAAGACTGGACATACCCCATATTGAATACCCTGGGTTGTCTACTTAAAAAAAAATATGTACATGTGAGGTGTGTTTCGGTGATTTATGACAGATAACGGTGTTACAATGTCACTATTGATAAATTTAAAATATATATATATATTGAAACAGCAATTTCCTACTTGTATTTATAGGCCTATAATTTGCAAAAAAAAAAGCAATAAAGCAAATAAACACTGGGTGTTTTTAAACTCAGGACAAAATTTTGAATCTATTTAGCAGTTTTTTTCATTAGCTTTTGTAGATAAGTAAAAGATTTTTCAAGTAAATGTCCAAAAACATGTTTTTTTTTCAATTTTTCACCATATTTTATTTATTTTTTAAAATAAAATATATGACATGATACAAATAATGGTATGTAAAGAAAGCCCTTCTTGTCCTGAAAAAAACAATATATAACTTGTATGGGAACAGTAAATGAGAGAGAGGAAAACTACAGCTAAACACAAACACCACAAAAGTGTCAAAACTGCTCTGGTCCTTAATGTACAACATCGCAAAAACAGGCCCGTCCTTAAGGGGTTAATATAGTATATACCCAGTAAACAGTAAATTTATTCTCACTGGATCCTTGCCAACCATCTACATTAACATAGGCACCTGCCCTTCCCCCTCATCCTAACACCACAACTGGCCTCCCAGCTGGCCTTCCGTTACCATCCATGACGGAATATTTCCATCATGTGTCCTTAAGGGGTTGAACTCGAGGCTAGGGGAGTAATCAGCCCCAAACATTTTCCACTGGAGCGCTGGTCAAATCCTGATTGGCAAGGACCTTCATCCACCCCCTGTGACAAGAAAGGAAATAAAACACACCCAAATAACACCATAATCCTAAACATAACAGGGGAGGGAGGGCGGGAAGCTGTTCCCAAGCCAGATAATTAAAATGTACATACATAAGGAAATAGGCGGAGTATGGTTGGTTTTCAGGTATAATGTTGCTGCAAAAGACAAAACAACATGGCCAAAGCCTAGTGCAATATAGTTTGGTCTAATTAAAATAGACAAATATGTGATTCTAATGGTATGGTACTCACAAATATGGAGCCAATATAAGAGGCTCACCACAGGCACAGGTGGGGAAGTTGGAAGGTTCCCCACTCCTGTTTGTTGTTTTAGGAGCCTTCATATTTGCCCAGTAATTCCACTACACATGAATTCCAGTGTCAGGAAATTCTTTATTAGTGCAAAAAAAAATAAAAAAAATAATAAAAAAGAAAAGAAATAAAAGATAAGATAAGATAAAATAATAAATGGGTACAATATATGAAGTCCAAAATAATTGGTGACAGCTTGCAACTAACCAGGCCCGAGTCTGGATGACTTCTGAGATCTGACGAGCTCAGGCACTTTCAGACTGGTATGGCTCCTAAAACAACAAAAGGGAGTGGGGTCCTTTCCAACTTTCCCCACCTGTGCCTGTGGTGAGCCTCTTATATTGGCTCCATCATTGTGAGTACCATACCATTAAAATCACATATTTGTCTATTTTAATTAGACCAAACTATATTGCACTAGGCTTTGGCCATGTTGTTTTGTCTTTTGCAGCAACATTATACCAGAAAACCAACCATACTCTGCCTATTTCCTTATGTATGTATAATTTCTGTTTTTGTGTGCAAAGAGAGGTGAGCACACAGGTGTTTAGAGTGTGATGGTATATTGTGGGTTACACAGCAGGACTTTGTATTTATTTTGAAAGATAATTAAAATGGCTGGGGATACAAAGGAAATGGCTCCCTATATATAAGGCCATCCCTCTTTTGCCTACAGCCCTCCCCCCCCCCCACTACAGGACTTCCCTTCCTTAAACTTTACTATACTCAACCCCCCACTCACACATGTCCCTATTCCCAGCTAGGCTTTTGGTCTGACTCCTCAGGGTCTAATCTCAAATTCCTCGGAAAATTCATACTTAACATACATATTTAGATTTGTGAAGTAACTCACTCACTCACAAATTGACATAAAATAAGCATTAACCCTTAATGACAATGAGTCTACTATTTTAATAAAACAATGTAACTTCAAAATGGAATATAAACAAAAACTAATCATAGAGGTAGAAAAAAGCAATTTCAGGATTTATATAGAATTAAGAAAATTTGTATCATTTAAAGGACTGAAATCAAAGTGTTTTATACATTTAGTTTAAGCCTACGGCTACACTTATTTATGCAAATCATACTCAAAATAGATGGATGCTAATTAAAAATGTGCTATACATTGCTCCAATGTTGGCAAAGTTCTGTGCATAATATGGTAAAGTAATTAAGCTGCATCTTAGAGTTCTTCTGAGTAAGAAATTAAGAAGCGTAGAATGCCGCTTGTATTTCAATACGTTATAAGCAATTTTTTCAAACACTCAGCAAAACAAAGTACAGATTGTCTCAGAAAGAAGTATTTCTTTTCTAAAGTGTGTATACATGCAGAATTTGACAACAGATATTAAATATTAAGGTCTCTTAGTCTGCCTATTAATTGTCTAAATCCGCACTTATCAAATAAGACAAAGGGAACAGCTAGTTAACCGATTAAGCTTAAGCTAGACAAGTGATGCTTCCCTACAAAGGACTCTTGGTGACCAGAATGAAGAAATACACTTGGGATATTTTGGGTTTCCCAGCCAAGTTACTTTTTTTTTCATTCTTTATTTAAGCTTGAGCAGCGAGAACAACAAAAAACATCGGCAGCGGTCAGTGCAGCAAAATACAGAACCATGACCGGTGTATAGTCGCCATATGGGCAGTCGGAACCTAGGACAAAACCCCCACATAACTAACCCAATAACACACTGACGCTAGGGTATATGGGTAAAATTGTCCACAGCTTTTATTAACCATTATAATAATAAAGATAATAAGTTTATAAGTAATAACAATTATAATAATATAATAATAATAATTTAACATATAAACATGGGTCATTGCCCCCATACTCTGCCCTCGCATCCGCATCCTTCTTTTAATATAACGGGCAATGACCCCAACATACTAACACATATATATCTCTAACAATTTGCAACCTTACTCCAACATAACAATTTAAGTGCCAACCATAAATAACCACGGCAGGGGTATACCCGGATACCCCTACCCCACCAGGTTCTGAGCCACCTCCAGGACTCGAAACCTACCAACCACCAGTGACCACAATTTCCATGTCTGTGACATTCCTCATGTGAGCCTATTTCCTCTTTCTCGGCTCCCTATCCCGCCGCTGTGACAAAACGGGATACCCTCATTTATCTCAAAAACCCAGGGAGGGTGGGTGGGACAAACTCAACCAGGTAGGAAATTAAATGTGCTCTATCCAAAATGGCTACCTCCTTAAGTAGACCAACCCCTTATTCCCACAACCCACCAGTCCTGGCCGGCATCTCCTAAGCCCGCCTCCTAATCCCTGTCAAGGCCCTCCTCCGCTAAGCTGTGCTTTGGCTCCTTGGGGCTACATTAGATAAGGTAAAAACATCAAGCATATGGAAAGTTTCATAGAACGCCATTGACGCACTCTGACAAGCTATAGCATGTGACCACTTCCTCAAGAAAATCAACATCATGAGTTTAATACTGTGTTGGCTCACTATAGGCTTTCATTTTAAACATGAGGATCTCTGAGCCTCGTCATACACTGTTGAAATACTAAGGTTCTTACAGAGGCGCAGAATCCTGCCCCTCAAGCAGGGGGGGAAACCCCAGGTAGGAGTATAATATAGAAAAGAGGGAAATAGAAAAATAAAGCAAATAAAAGAAAAGAAAGGCAAGAGAAAGTTGCCGTACAGCCAAGTTACCTTTTTAAGACTCAGGCCTTGTGATTACGTAAAATGGTCGGGTGCCAGTGCACTCCTGACACCATAATATATGGTGCTTGGAGTGTTCCTTTAACTCTTTAACGATGGAGGCAATTGCACAAGTTCTGATCAAAACAAAACGTAAACAAAACCTTGAATTTGTGCTAAATGTCTGTTCAACTGTAATTCACCTCTTTCATATTAAGTGCACCCACACTTATTATAAATCATTGTGTTCAGGAGGAACAGGGCTTTCATGCTACATCAAATATTTATATATTCAAAGAGCATTTAAAGTACAGACATTTCGGGCCCTGTCCCTTTATCAATGATAAATGTCCTTATGCATTTATCATTGATAAAGGGACAGGGTCCCAAAACGTCTGTACTTTGAATGCTCTTTGATTAAATTTGGGCTGCACTAGTGGGCCCCTATAACTAAGCTGTGCTTTGTGGAAGAATACTTTTAGTTGCTATGTTTTGCTTGCTGCTGGGGCTACAGCACCTTATACACAATAACTGCACTAGGTTTAACTAGTTTGCCTTATTGTGCTATACCATACTCCTAGATCATATTTTTGCTTTAAAGATTTATATATGAAACATAATTTAATATGAATAAAATCTAAAAAAGTTTGAGAAATTAAAAGAAAGTTACTTTTTAGTTCTGCATGGCATTTTAACTATGAACGTCATAACATTGTTAACATTTACTGCAATAAAACACACTTATTTGTGTTCAGTGATGTCTCACAAGTACAACAGTACCCCCATGTACAGGTTGTATGTGGTTTTGGAAAGTTACAGGGTTAAATAAAGGGCTGGACCATTTCAGTTTTTACACTATGAAATTTGCCAGATTGGTTATGTTGCCTATGAGACCGTATGGCAGCCCAGTAATGAGAGTTAGCCCCATCATGGCATACCATTTGCAAAAGTAGACAACCCAAGTTATTGCAAATGGGGTATGATTTGTGTTCAGTGAAGTGTCCCGAGTAAAACAGTACCCCCCATGTACAAGTTTTATGGTGTATTGTAAAGTAACAGGGATAAAAATAAAGAGCTTGCAAACTAAATTCTCAGGACTTTCTTTCTTGGTTGTGAGGCAGTACCCTCAAATTATAATTACTAAAATCACATAATTATGTTTAAAGATAAAATATATAAAATATATATTTATGTGATTATTAATGTAATTCTATGTATATACATCTTTTTTATTATAATTTTTCTTTATTTATATGTAAAAGACCTGAATTTGTGGCAGGACTTTTCCCTATGTAAACTCAACCCCCCTACTTACCTATGCCGTTTCGAGTGACCCCACCCACCACTCCCTCAACTATCTTATTATTACATTATCCTTGGTAGGCCCTCTTTTATTACAGGCCTACCCGTACGTTGGTTGTAGCACAACACTACCAACCTTTACTCCTTTCTCTATTACAGATACTATTTAGTTCCGACCACAGATATTTAACATTTCATTCTAGGTGTATTTTGATATGTATATGTATATATATAGTGATGTCCCGAACGGGTCGCCGCGGACGGCGAACATATGCGGTAAACTTTGACCCTGTACCTCACAGTCAGCAGACACATTCCAGCCAATCAGCAGCAGACCCTCCCTCCCAGACCCTCCCACCTCCTGGACAGCATCCATTTTACATTCATTGTGAAGCTGCATTCTTAGCGAGCTGTCCAGGAGGTGGGAGGGTCTGGGAGGGAGGGTCTGCTGCTGATTGGCTGGAATGTGTCTGTTGACTGTGAGGTACAGGGTCAAAGTTTACCGCATATGTTCGCCATCTGCGGCGAACCGTTCGGGACATCACTATATATATATATATAAATGCAGTTAGAATGAAATTACTCACATACTGTGTATAAATTATTTTTGCAATTGGGTTATCAGGCAGTCCCCCCAAATTGGAGCATTAAAGTCCACTAACTGCAGGGCAGCATAGAATGACATGTGGCGCTAACGGGTTAACTACTGCTCATTCCTTATATCCATTTACTTATTTAAAAAAGATATAATAATATTATCATATCAATTTACCAAGAACTCGCTGCTGAGAGTTTTTAACTATTTGCCCACTAGCTGCTAGCGTTAATTCAAAGCTGTTTGCAGTTTTAATTTAAAGACTTATGCCAGTTATTATAATGGCAAAAACATAGCCTGAACTTAAACTGTGTATATTGATTGTTGCCTGAGCTGTTTTACTTAGAAGCCAGCCTGTAAAACATGATTGTAAATATCATGAACTTCGAAAGTAATTTCCCAGTGTAACTGATTTTAGCAGCAGTTTTAAAAGCTGTTTAGTAAATCAATGTGTATTACTTTAGTTCACAATGTTATAAGTAACATTAAAATAAAATCAAATTGCTTTCTTTCAATTTGTAGGAACCAGTGTCAAAATTTCCTACAAGACCTTTTGAATCTCAAAATGACATTGAACTTCAGCAAAGCCCAGTCATTCATGAAAACCAAAAGGCTACAACAGTGAAATTGTTGCTGAAGACCAATGGTAACAAGCATAGTTTTCTCTCACCGGGCATTGTACCGTTGGAAAACTGCCATCCCACTGAAGAACATTCCCTGAGGCTACCTGTATACACAGCACCACTTAAGGTATCATTGTTATTGACATAGTAGCACAGTGTCATATAGCATATCAGATCATTGGCAGATCATGATTTGAAATACTAGATAATATGGACCACGCAGTGTCCCTCTCTCCAAAATAATATTTGTGTTTACATATGTATATTTTTGTGTCTCGATAGAGGTGTGTTAAGTTGTGTTTATGAATGTGCACTTGTATTTGTGTAGGTCTGCCAGTTTGTCTATATGGATATTTTGTGTGTCTATGAATGTATGCTATTATGTATATATATATATATATATATATATATATATATATATGTTTGTGTGCCAGTCTTTGTTCATGCCATTTATAGGACAAGCATTCATGGATGAAATCACACTTTCTAGAATTTTCAGTTTTGCTGCACTTTTGAATTAAAAGAAGCCTTATAAATTTTAGATGTCTGCAACTTTTCTGCATTATTCTACATCACTATTTTCGTATAATCTTCAGTCTGCCAAGGGAGAGGTTGTGGATCCATTAAAGGACCACTATAGTGCTAGGAAAACATACTTGTTTTCCTGGCACTATAGTGCCCTGAGGGTGCCCCCATCCTCAGGGACCCCCTCCCGCCTGGCTCTGGGGAGAGGAAGGGGTTAAACTTACCTCTTTCTCCAGCGCCGGGCGGGGAGCGCTCCTCCTCCTCTCCTCCCTCTTCTCCTCCTCTTCGGCTGAATGCGCATGCGTGGCAGGAGCCACGCGCGCATTCAGCCAGTCCATAGGAAAGCATTCACAATGCTTTTTCCTATGGACGCTGGCGTCTTCTCACTGTGATTTTCACAGTGAGAAACGCGGAAGCCTTCTAGTGGCTGTCAATGAGACAGCCACTAGAGGCTGGATTAACCCATTTATGTTTATAAAAAAAAGGGTTAACCCTAGCTGGACCTCACACCCAGACCACTTCATTAAGCTGAAGTGGTCTGGTGCCTAAAGTGGTCCTTTAATAACTATAACTGTAAATATGAGAGTCCAACTGCATAAGTGCCGAATGCTGATATCTGTGTATAATTTGTTAAAAACTAACATTTTTATTTTTCAGCAGCCTTGTACAAATAATTAAAAATCAAACTGTGTTAAGAAATGCACTATTACAAAACAGTTCCTCATGACAATATTGGAAGATTATATTAATGTATGTTCCACATCCAATATTTGGGCAACAATATACTTTATAGTTTTAAAATGTTGTTCAGTATGTCTGGGAGCTGCAGAAAATGATAGCAACACAATTCTGTCTGTCAAGGTTGACATTAATATAAAGAGAGATACCTCAATGCAAATGAGTGAAACAATGCAGTCCCTGGTGCTAGGAAGTAACATTCTGTAAACTGGAAGGAAATAAGAGATACAAATGCATACAAATAACCTGTAAAATAACATAAATATGGACATGGTATTGTATAGAGACAAATGAATAAAACAAATATGCACTAATAATAATGCAGACATTAGCACAGGGAGCGTTGCCACATACATTAACCCATGCAAGTGAAATATATAGAAATGATGTTTAAATGTGTGGGCTTTGTTGTTATCACTTCCCTTCCCACACACACACAAAAAAAAAAATATAGTATAATACAGTTAAAAACTATAAAGTATAGATATGTTAGTAGTTTAATAGAAGTCAAGGTAAGTGACAAGAAGGTACATTGAAATCAATATTTTCTGTGGCTGCCCTTCACCAGGATATCCCAACTGTCACACTTTTGACAGAACAGTCCCTATTTTAGGGTCCTGTCTCACTGTTCTGATTTTGTTTCATGAGGTCGTGACTCCAGGGCCACCAGTGAACTGTAAGCAGGCAGCACAGAGCATTAGCAGTGCTCGTGCTGTGCAGCACACACTAGGACCATACACAGAGTGCTTCAGTAGCACCGTCTGCTTTGTGTTCAATATTGTTTTCCAAGAAGAGAGTATGTCAAGCTTAAAACTAGGTTGAGTAACACCCCTTTTAGGGGCAGTCCCACCCCTTTCTGGATGGGATCACACATTACAAATGCAACCATCAATGAAAGTTGGTTCATTGGTGATGCCTGTCTACCCATCCTAATTCCATATCTCACAATGATTGTTGGTGTACAAAACCCCCAACACTATTTGCAAAAATTGTATTTCTATACTTGCAATAAACTTCCACCATAATCTACTGTTACCTGCAGACACTCCTCAATGTACTAATGAACAGTCTGTGCTTTGCTACACCCAAATATTTCAAATTTTTACTCATCATTTCTGTAATGGAGCATCAGTACTCCGACTGAGTACCTCCATTAAAAGTTCCCTCTCTCTGGAGAAAAGCACAGCTGAAGTGATATAGCCATTTCCCAAAACACCAGACAATACCCGGTGAAGGGTAAAACAACACATTTTACTGTCACCAAGCACACATTTATAGGGACAATCACAACATGGGCTCATCAACTCGGACAATAGGTTTCTTCCCTAGCGCCGCTGTGTTTGGGGGATAAATCACTCCCAATTATCAGGGCACCATACAACAATACTTTAAAAACATATATTTCCTCAATAATATATTAACAAATTGTACATTATCAGACATGGCTAATCCCCACAAGCAAGATGTCCAAAAAGTGCATAGATTGGATGTACCTAGTCCGAGAAATCGTTGTGTTAAGTGTAGCTGGGCTGTGGCTATTTCCCAATCTGGTGTGGACTTTCAGGCTGCTGCAGCTAAGAGACTGTCTCCATGGCTTTGGAGAAGGAGGTTTCCCCTGGCTCTCAGTGAGCATTGCTGGTTCTTTATATTCCCCATCTCCCCTCCAAATATCGTTCTCCTGGGCAACTGGGTAACGGAACATGGACAATTGTAAATTGCACCGGGCAGTCACATTGAATTTGGTTGATTTAGAGTTTCAGGCAGTTAGTGCCTGATCCCGATGGAGCAGCTGCCCCTTTCCCATAGAGCAGACCCAGGGATGAGAAATGAAAGCATTCCACTGCATGTGAAAGGACACAAGGAAAACTCTTGGGTGATTAGGCTCCTTAAGGGGGAGTTAGATTTTGAGTCCTGCACCAAATAGTAGCATGAATGAAAGTCCAGAGCACCTACTGACATTTTTTTTGCAACCCAGTTCCTATGTTTTTTTTGCATAGTTGAGCTGCTTGGCCTTCTTTAAACATCAAAGGTGTAGCTTTTTGGCAGTGAATCTTCCATGGTGGCTACCAACAATTAGTCTCCTTTGGACAGTAGATGTGTGTATCAGGGTCCCAGTGGTTTCTGCCAATTATGAATTGATGGCCCTGCTAGACATCTTCCAATTGCAAAGGGGAGTAAGCATGATGTTTCTTCCTTGGCCGACCGCTGAATCTTCGGTCCTCCCTCATAGTTGCTTGTTTCTTTATAGAGAAGCACTGTGAATATGTGATGGAGCTGCACTCATTGCTTTTTACAGAAAAATTATGAATTCAGTACTCTTCTGTGATAAAAATATGCTACATTTTGCTTCATCATGCCTTGCAGGAACATTAAGTCCTTTAAAAATGTAGGTAAGGAGAAAGCAGCTCTAGTGGCTGTCTGGTTAGCAGCCACTAGCAGCGTGAATATTAAGATAAATGCTAAAGGAACACTATAGGGTCAGGAACACAAACATGTATTCCTGACCCTATAATGTTTTACCCAACATTAAGGTGGCTTGCCTCCACCCCTTAGCTCCCCTATAAAAGTTTAAACCTCACCTTATTTCTAGCGCTGTGTGGGTCTGCCGGCACTTGCAGATGGCAGCTTTTTAGCCAATCTAATGCTTTCCAATAGGTTTTGAGGGAAAGCATTGGATTGGCTAAAATCATCACGGGGGCGGGCCAAATGCCATTTTGGCCAATCAGTACCTTCTCATAGAGATGCATTGAAACAATGCATCTCTATGAGGAAAATTCAGCGTCTCCATGCAGAGCGTGTCAGTGCTGCTTTTTCAGCAGCACTGACCCAGGAAGCACCTGCAGTGGCCATCTATGGAGTGGCCACTTGGAGGTGTCCCTAGAGGCAATTTAAACAGTGTCTTTTCTCTAAAAAGGCAGTGTTTGCATAAAAAAGCCTAAAACAAACTATTATACTCACCAGAACAACTACATTAAGCTGTAGTTGTTCTGGT